AAAATCATCATTTCAGCTCTGTGAGTACATGACCATTTGAAGAGGATTTCAGAAATCTCAGAATATTATTTAGTATCATGAAAAGAGTTTATAATTATTAATAAAAGGCTGCGTCCTTTTGATTTTAATAACTCATAACTTAGTATTACATAGACTGCACAATCCATTCATGCCCATGAACTCAGTTTATCTTCATCTTTATCCTAGAGCTTGAGTTTTACAGACTACAACATTATATATTTTATTTTGGTGATCGCAGTGATGGGTGTATCTTAACAAATACCAGGACCCATGAAAATCAGGAGCACCTAAGCCAAGCCTTCAGAGCTCTCCCACCCCCAGACAGAAGGTAGCACACAAATTTGGTGCCTTTGCCCCATGTCCCAAAAAGCCCTATTGGGGTTTTATGGGACCCAATAAACACCACTTTTCCCCACCCAAATTCAGAACCCACTGAAAGGGAGGAAAAGAAGTCAAGTAGCTAGAGCTCAAAATAACATCTGTATTACTGAGGAAAGCTAATTGGAGGGTATAGGTTGGGATCTGGCCAAACATCTTGTGCACATATAGTAAAAAAAAAAAAAGAAGAAAGAAAGAAATGGATATTGCTGAGCAGCTTCCCAAGAGATGCTGGTTAATTGGGTCTGGGGAGGGATGCAGCATTCTTTCAGGGGTGAACTACATCTGCATTGCAGATCAGGTTTGGAGACACACTGCCTGAGGGTTATCTAAAGTTTAAATTACATGCAGGGAACGCTGTGTTACTTATATGGGGTCTTTATCCAGATTTCACATTGTTTCTTATATCATCTTTAATGTTTTATGCTGACATGCACTGTAATATAGAGGCATTCTATTCCTTAACTGGTGAAATGAAAACAGAAGTAATATGCCTGAATGAGATAATACAAAACAAGACATTGAAACTTTCTCTAAGAGTAGTCAACTTCATTACACATGTCTCCGTACTGGTCTTAATAGTGAATATGTATTGCATTTTATCATTGCATTTTGTAAAATGAAATTAATTAAAAAAGAAAAGATGATGGGCAAGCTACTGAAATTGAAATATTTTTGCCTGTGTCAATCCTTGCTCATTGATTGAACTTAGACCAAATTTGGCCGAAAACAAAAATTACTTCTACTAAAATACTTCCTGCTAGAATGTTTAATAATTGACAAGAGTTTTTATTTTTTGATTGGACAGAGGNTAGGGGCTGGTAGGTGATGGAGGAGTTTGGATATTAGTGTGGGGAAAAGCCCTTGAAAGGTTTGAAGCAATAGAGTGACAGGCACTTACTTAGATTTTACACATTTGCTACTGAGTAGAGAATGGTTTCCAGGGGAAAGAAGGAAACCAGGTTTTGCAGTAGTGCAGGTGAGAGATTTCCTGGTGGCTTGACCTCATGTGGTAGCAGTGGAAATAGAGAGAAGTGGACAGATGTGGTGCATATGTTGAAAGAGTTGACAAGACCTGCTTATATGGGGCTTGAAGGGAAAAGAAGAAGCAAGGATGACTTCTGAGACTTTGTCTGCGGCAACTGCATGGATAGTGGTGGGCTTTCTCATATAAGGAAGAATGAAAGAGTTCAAAGAGAGTAAATACATAATGCCCTTATGAAATCATTAAACATTTAGATTTTACATAACATAGATTGTCAATCCTGAGTTTTTGAAAATACTGTGTGAAGAATAACATGATTTTACATAATCGGTTAAGACATGAGAAAACGCCTATTGTTAAATTGGAAAGAGATTTAAAGAATTATTGTAGACCATGACTTATTTTAAATTAGGATATCTCCAAACCATTCCTAAAAATACATGCATAACCTTTGCACAAAAATAACTTAGAGGAGAGTATTTTATATTCTAATTCATCATTTTACTACATTTATAATCAGAAAAGTCTTCATAATTTCTACTCTTAATTTTATAACTTAAAACCGGTTTCCTTTTTTCATTGTGTAAAGAGGAAAATGAGCAATTTTTAAAAATCTCTTCTTAGAGTTGAAGTTGTTACTAAAGCTTTTACTCTAACTTACTTAAAACAATGAATATTTGCAAACATTTGTTGAATACACACCAAGTAGGTCAATACTTGGGAACTTTATTATAGGCAAAAGTTAGTGTGGTAGGTATCTTATAAAGAGCCTTTTTAATTCTGAGTAGTTTAGTAGTTGAACAAAGACTTAATTTAATCATTTGACATAGAATCCAGTGATTGGATTCCATTTTTTAGAAGACATGTAGATACCAGCTTGATTTCCTCCTACTGAATCTTTTAATAACTTAATAACTTGATCATTTTAGGTTGGTGGTTCAATTACAGGTTTAACCCTACAGAATTTTGAAAGCTGTATATTGAATTTATCGATCAAAGTCTGAAAATATGATCATTGTACCATATTTTCATATCTAAAACATTTTGCATGACACATATCACTCTGTGGTTGAAATATAATGACCTTTTTCAAAGTAATATTTAATTCTTTTTAAAAATCATTAATTTTGGAAATTTGTTATTGGGATTAAAAAATATATTGTTGGACTCATAGTAAATCAATATTGACAAACAAGTTCTCTCTTTTGGTCTGTCTCTTCCTCCCTCCCTCTCTCCCCATCTCTCTTCCTCTCATTCCCTTTATCCTTCCCCTACTCTCACCTTCCCTCTGTCCCTCTTTCCCTTTACCCGCTCCCTCTCCACCCCAACCCCACCCCATACCAGATGGTGCGTGAACAGTACGCTACAACCGCAGAAGGCACCTGCATAGAGAGGCCAGAGAACCAGTATATCTACAAAATCGGTATTTATGGCTGGAGAAAGCGTTGCCTCTACTTATTTGTTCTCCTTTTACTCATCATCCTCCTTGTGAATTTGGGTCTGACAATTTGGATTCTTAAAGTGATGTGGTTTTCCCCAGTAAGTATTTTTTTCTTTTCTTTTCTTTCTCTTCTTCTTTTTCCTTTTTTTGGTGGTAAGCATGTTCTTGTTTTGTTTGTGCCATCACTTCATCCACATCAAACTGGTAGAAGCTTCCTTTAATGTAATTAATGTTTGTTTCCTGTCTGGATCAGAATTTTCAGTAGCAAAATATACATA